CTTTCCTACCAGCAAAATGTATGGAAAAAATGTATGCGCACCCCTCAATCTGTTTGATGTGGTTGTGGACTAGGGTTGTCATGGTGTGAACATTTTACCTCACGGTTATTGTGACCAAAATCATCACGGTTTTCGGTATTGCGGTATTTTTTTAAACGTGTTACATTTTCAGACAACTAAATAAACCCTGTATATCAGGAAAATATTGTCCTCAGTTTGTGTCTAAATTTAGCCTAAAATGTGTTATTTTGTAATTATGTTGTTTATTTGTTTACATTTTCCTCTTTAGTCTTTAAAATACCAATATTTGCCCATAACTTCTCATTTTATGTCTGTTTGATGTCATCATTTTAAAAATATTAGACCAGATGATACTCAGTACTCACGTAGCCTTCTAATCAGATACTTTTTTACCCTTACTTGAGTAATAAACCCTATATCAGGAAAATATCGTCCTCGGTTTGTGTCCTTCCAGTGAGCTTTGCAGATGTGGGAAAATGTCATCAGGCAGTAATCATTGTTAAATTCATAATTATTCTCGGAGAGAGACCAACTCTTATCTGCCCCTGGGAGCCCCGTAATGCATAGCGTCATTTCAACATGGCGGTGTCCGCGACACGGTTTATATGCAGGTAGCGGCGCTGCAGCTGCTTTAAAAAAACCGGAGTTTTAAGGTCCGCAACGTCACTTTCCGCGACAAAAAATGCTGACATCACGTGTGCGACCTGTGTTTACACTAGCTGACAGCATGGATGCCCTCAGAGCTGCGCTCGCTTTATCAATTGTCCAAGCGCTTTTTGCTTGTTTGTTTTTGCAAGCGGAATTACTGCTCCTTGCAGAAGACCACAGACGAAGGACGAGTTTAAGAACGGGGGAAGTACTGCCGCCTACAGGTCTGGTGTGTCCTTAACAACGTATTTATCTGGGTACGTGTGGACAGAGTTTTTATTTTTTAAACGAGGTGGTGTGGATGCAAGTTTTTGGAGGGGCGGATATTCGTTTTTAAAATAACCCGGCTACGTGTGGACTAGGCCTAAATGTCCTGAGCGCTGCCGTCTCCTCCTTTGCCCATTATTTCAGCTTTAGCTTCAAGAAAGTTTTGGAACAACAAAGTGCGCATGTGCCGCCGGCAACTTCAGCAGATGATACGGTGGCTGGTAAGGGTCACCGCGTCTACACCGCAGCCACGGTAATCCACCGAGATAATATATATATTTTTAAAAACAAGACGTTATTATTATTGTCAATTTTTTTTACTGGGGTTTATCGCTACACCGGTTACCATGACGACCCTATTGCAGACCTTACCTGGCTTTGGAAAATGGATAAAAATGTCACCTCCGACATCCGATCTGAGTATCTAGTAGGGCTGGGGGTAAACGATTATTTTTAAAACTATTATTCTGACGATTATTTTATCGAATAGTCGACTATTCTAATGACTATTCAGAAAATTTATCTAATGATTATTTTCTATTGCACAATTAACAAAAACCAGAAAATCTCAAATAAATTCCTCAAAAAATTGATAAATTCTTACTGTAAGAGTATAAACACTACAGGCCTTCCATTTTTTATAACACTGCTTTTATTGTGTTGCGGTTGGTTATGTTCTGGTGACATGTAGAACTTGGGAGTGCAGGCTGCTGCCTGAGAGGTGGTAGAAGATGGAGTGTCTCCATGCTGCTTTGTTTTGGTCACTTATGTGCGTGAGGCGAGTGGTGTTACGGGTTAAACCAAACTCAAGGTGATATTATACACTAAACCGAAAACCCACAACACTCTAAATGTAATAAAAGGGAGATCTACACCACAAAAAAGATGAACTCTAAACCAAAACGTAACAGCTTATCCCAACGCAAGAAGCTGTTAGCGAAGATGCTAACAGTAGCTTTACCAACGTTAAGTTCAAGTTACCAAGTTTAAATAAACCAAAAACACCCAGCAGCAAACAGACCAGCACAGAGGAGAGACTGCTACCACCAAAACAGCTCTCCTAATGTCTGAAAGAAGCTCCTTTATGAAGGGAGAAGCGCTCCCGGTGATGTTCTACATCTGCGATAGACACGAAGCAGCGCATCTGACCCCGGAAGTTGTTGTCCGTTGCCGGGAGACGAAGGCGGGCAAAACAGGAAAATAATCTAGTAGTGGACGGACGTTGTTCCGGGTCTTCGGTATTTGGCGGAGATGTTAGTGAAGGCGGAGAAGAGGGCGAACTAGAGGAAAAACATGCAGATTCCTCCTCTATTTACAAATTCCTGGGGATGCAACAAGTGGGCGCGGTGCGTCGACTTCCGGATCTGACGTCGACAAATTTTTAGAATCGAGCCGTCGACGTCGTCGAGGCTTCGCTACAGCCCTAGTATCTAGAGTCCAATTAGCATGTCTTCCAATGGCGGTGCTTACTTCCTTCCTGTTTGCACATCTTTGAGAAAAATACAACTTTTTTTGTCTAGGGCTACATCCCACGATGCATTGCAGTGTTGCATCACAATCTGTTTTTAGCTACTGTAGAATGTGCTTTTGGAAATGGCTTCACTGCATTTTGAAGACGTGTTGGGTCGGGTGTGTGAGCGGATGGAAGTCTATCTTGTTGTCTAGCTTTGATCTGCTTTGGTGTTTATGCAGTGGCACTTTAAATGGAACAAACCTCACAGCTCTGCGTTAAACAGGCCCCCGGGCCGAGAGTTCATCCATTCACTGAGTCACAGGGGCCTGGTTATGCTGTCGGTTCTCATCAAGGCTCTAGCTGACACTTGGAGGATGAATAGCCCCATTAACCCCATTATAGAGAAAAGCTGCGTTTGTCACCACGGCTCAGTGTGCAGGCCAAGATCACATTCAGTCAAATGATTTAAAGCTTCTTTTTTTTTTTTTTAATGGAAATGTGTTTTTCGTCTGAGTTGGGATGTCGGGGCAAAGCGCTGATGCTGTGGCCTACAGCAGCTCTCTTGATCTCCAACAGTTGGAAACCAAACAAGTATCACTCCATATGTGCCCACGCGCACGTTGAGGTCGGCTGACCTTTTGCTGCTGTGCACGCCACGGATGCGATTCAAATCGCGGGGTGAACGAGCATTTGTCCATGCTGCCCCAAAGCTGTGGAACTCATTGCCCACTGGAGTTCGGCAGGCTCCATCTCTGGCGGTTTTTAAATCTCGTTTAAAGACCCACTTTTACACTTTGGCTTTTAGACAGTGACTTGTTTTAGTGTTTTATTGTATCATTGTTTTAATGTGTTCTTAGTATTCATCATGTTTTATCTGCTTTTGATTGGGATTTTTATCCTCTGTTATAGTTCTTTCGAATGGTTGTGTTTTGTTTTAGCCTGTCCAGCACTTTGGGCAGCTCCCATGCTGCGTTTTAAATGTGCTATATAAATAAACTATGCTATGCTATGCTATGCACATAAAAAATTTAATTTATGTACAAAATATTTGGCTTCTGATGTGTTTATGTAGCAAAACTCTGAATATTTCCCCTCTGTTGTTGTTTGAATCTTGTTTCTACAATAGCTGCAATTATAATTTTATAATTTGTAATAATCAAAATGGTATTTAAAGAATCTGTGGAAAATCACACTGACTTTGTTGATATTTAGTACTTGTAATACAAGCAGAATGGCAATGCTTTCATTTATTCTGTTAGAAAAATGACTCATGCTCTTATTTTAGAAGCTATATTGAGCTTTCTGTTCTTTTTGTGTCAGAAAAGCAGCACAAACTGATCTGGTAGAGATTTCCTCCAGTTCAGGAGCACTTGGTTAGAACCAAATACTCTTTTCTATGTTTGTTTCGAGGCAGTTAAACCTGACTTTCCTTGCAACTGTTGCCTTGCCCCAACATGTCAGTCGGTTATCATTCCACATCAACTGTTTGGGGATAAAAGTTTGATTAAAAGAGATTCTTGCGCTACTTTCAGTTTGAAAAGTTGTTAGAGTCAGACAGTTGTGGAGTTCTTGCAGACAGTATTACAATATTTATTTAAACACCTGCACTGTGGGGTTTTAATGGTGAAGGGGATAGAAAAGTTTCCTGTTCAGCATCATTTGAGGAGAAATTTAGGTATTCATTAATTAGCATTTCTGGAAATTTCATTAGTTTGATTTCACTTATCCTAGTAAATTGTTTTTGAGGTGGCGACACCTGATTTGATAATGTTACTGTGGCCGTGCGCAGGATGCAGATCTACCGACCGCAAAAACAGCGGAGTGCTCGCTGCTTGGTGGCCGCATCAGTGATCGGTGCGTCACCGGAGGACAAGGTGATGCGCCCCACTCCACAGCAGCGAAACACAGGCGCAAATAAAAGACAGAAAACATTAAAGGAAATGAGCCAACATGAACGATCGCGTGTCAGTACCGACGCTCTGGCACAGCGCGTTCCCCCCCCGACGTGCAGGAGCTTGTCACCTGCTGACAGCAGGCTGCTGTCTTTTCCGAGGGCTGCATCTTGCCGGTCATTATCACGCGACAGCGACTAGTCGATGACAGGCATAAAAAGTCACTATAGTGAAGTCGACTAGTTCATACAGCCCCTATTGCTCCCCAGTGTTCTGCAGCGCACGTGCTCTTTGAACTTGATATCAAATTTTCGCCTCCTCTTCGTCTCCGCACCTGCCAAATCGAGTTCTATCACTGGAAAATCAAAAGTGAGACGGATGACTCAACCGCCCCCCCTGTGGTACTTGCTTGTTACCACATTCCACCCGGCCACAATAAAATACCGGCCATTATTCACCTCCGCCGACTGCGACACCAGCCAACATATGATACCCGGCCATTAATTGAATGCAGGCCAATATTAGAGGATTTATGTTAGTTCTTTGCGATAGTCTTAATTTTATTTTTACGAGGTCTTAAAAAGTCTTTAAAAGGTCTTAAATTTAATTTTGAGATTCCTGCATATACCCTGTTTTTACCAACATGACAGTCTGCTACTGACCAATCATTGGTTTGAGGGGAACAGATTTCTGACATGTCGTCCTTCCCTGTCATCCAGGCCCTGGCCATGCCCTCGAATGCTCGGGCGGGAAGTCTGAAGGATCCGGATGTGGCAGATCTCTTCTGCAAAGATGATCCGGAGAAGTTGTTTGCTGACCTTCGTGAGATTGGCCACGGCAGCTTCGGAGCTGTGTACTTTGTGAGTAGAACTTGATGTTTGTTTACTTTGACATCAGAGGTTTGTTGGGAGCCTTCACATTCAAATTGTGAGAATGAACCAGGTCACTAAACTTTTTGATCCAGCTAGATGGTTGTTTAATGATTTAAAAAAATCATGATGTACAGGTGCTGGCCAGTAAATTAGAATATCATCAAAAGGTTGAAAATATTTCAGTAATTCCATTCAAAACGTGAAACTTGTACATTATATTAATGCAATGCACACAGACCAATGTATTTCCAATGTTCATTACATTTAAATTTGATATTCATAAGTGACAACTAATGAAAACTCCAAATTTGGTATCTCAAAAAATTAGAATATTCTGAAAAGGCTGAATATAGAAGACACCTGCTGCCACTCTAATCAGCTGATTTACTCAAAACACCTGCAAAGGCCTTTAAAAGGTCCCTCAGTCTTGTTTTGAAGGCACCACAATCATGGGGAAGACTTCTGACTTAACAGCTGTCCAAAAGACAATCATTGACACCTTGCACAAGGAGGGCAAGACACAAAAGGTGATTGCTAAAGAAGCTGGCTGTTCGCAGAGCTCTGTGTCCAAGCACATTAACAGACAGGCGAAGGGACGGAAAAAATGTGGTAGAAAAAAGTGTACAAGCTCTAGGGATAACCGCACCCTGCAGAGAATTGTGACGACAAACCCATTCAAAAATGTGGGGGAGATCCACAAAGAGTGGACTGCAGCTGGAGTCAGCGCTTCAAGAACCACCACGAGGAGACTCATGAAAGACATGGGATTCAGGTGTCGCATTCCGTGTGTCAAGCCACTCTTGAACAAGAAACAGCGCAAGAAGCGTCTCGCCTGGGCCAAGGACAAAAAGGACTGGACTGATGCTGAGTGGTCCAAAGTTATGTTTTCTGATGAAAGCAAGTTCTGCATTTCCTTTGGAAATCAAGGACCCAGAGTCTGGAGGAAGAGCGGAGAAGCACAGAATCCACGTTGCATGAGGTCCAGTGTAAAGTTTCCACCGTCAGTGATGGTGTGGGGTGCCATGTCATCTGCCGGTGTTGGCCCACTCTGTTTCCTGAGGTCCAGGGTCAATGCAGCCGTCTACCAGGAGGTTTTAGAGCACTTCATGCTTCCTGCTGCTGACCAACTTTATGGGGATGCAGACTTAACCTTTCAACAGGACTTGGCACCTGCACACAGTGCCAAAACCACCAGCACCTGGTTCAAGGACCATGGTATCCCTGTCCTTGATTGGCCAGCAAACTCGCCTGACCTTAACCCCATAGAAAATCTATGGGGTATTGTGAAGCGGAGGATGCAATACGCTAGACCCAACAATGCAGAGTAGCTGAAGACGACTATCAGAGCAACCTGGGCTCTCATAACACCTGAGCAGTGCCACAGACTGATCGAGTCCATGCCACGCCGCATTACTGCAGTTATTGAGGCAAAAGGAGCCCCGACTAAGTATTGAGTGCTATACATGCACATTCTTTTCATGTTCATTCTTTTCAGTTGGCCAACATTAGAGAAACAAACATTTTTTCATTGGCCTTTAGAATAGTCTAATTTTCTGAGATACCAGATTTGATGTTTTCATTGGTTGTCACCTATAAATATCGAAATTAAACGTAATAAACATCGGAAATACATTGGTCTGTGTGCATTGCATGAATATAATGTACAAGTTTCACGTTTTGAATGGAATTACTGAAATATTTTCAACCTTTTGATGATATTCTAATTTACTGGCCAGCACCTGTACTTGGTAAACTTGGATCCTTCCTTTGAAGCTTAAAAACTCTTGACATAGATTATTGAATAGCAAAATAAATCACACAAACTATTTTCCCCAAGTTTACAAAAATGGCAAATTAAGGAACAAGAAAGAATAAAAGTTGTTTTTCCAACTGAATTTCTGAGCTGTTTATGGGAAAAACTTGTATAAAATATTTTAATGTAATTATTAGTGTTCTGAAGCAGTTGGAAAATGTTAGATTAAACCCACTATGTTGGCAGTTTTTTTGCATTTAAATGAACTGAGATGAATTTTTGAGACTCAGACTATCCGGACATTGATTTTTCTGACTCATCTGTTCAAGAATCTGCTTTTTTCTTTCCTGTTGCTGTTTGCATGTTTTCATTTCACTAAAAGAAGATGATGATGATGTTGTTACAGTCTAAGTCCCGCATGTAAACCTCCATCAGCTGGTTGTTCAACTTGTGGGAACGGTTTTCATCACTGTGCTACATGATGTGGACAGTGTTCGACTGGATTTACACTCCGGTGACTAAAGTCTTCAGATTTTCTATTTGGTACTTTATTACTTTGTGTGGAGGCTGGGGCATTTTAACCATGTAAAATTAATTTACTTTCAAAGTAATCCTTTAGTTTCAAAATCACTTTGCTGTTCTCAAATCACAGCTTTTATACAAGGGGAAGCTATGTTGTTGTGAATATTCAACTGAAATGAACAGGACAACTTTATTGCCATGTGGAAAACATAATGGTATCATACAGCTGCTGGGAATGTGTGAGTGATTGTAATGTACCCTGTTTAACAAAGAAGTGCAATGATAATAATAGATGGAGAGTTTTGTACCAGAAGAAGGGAAGTAACTTAAAGGCATAAAGGAGAACACTTTTTGATGTACCCTTCTCTCTCAGCCTTTTTTGTCGTGTTTAAATTTTTCATTTGTTCATTAAATGCTGCACAATTTCTTCAGTCATGGGTCATAATCCATGCTTATTGCATACAGGTGCTACCCATTAAAGAGCAATTTGCAGGTAAAAATTTTGTTTTAATTTCATATAAAATGTTGTCCAAAAAATACTACCGGATTGACCCAAATATAAGACGAGGTTTTCTTCATTGAAAATAATTTTTAAGTGTGGGGTCGTCATATAATCGGGGTCTAAACATTACACGCCCGTAACAGCAGAGGGCGCCAGGCTGTATGTTCTCAACAGGAGAAAACAATGGCGATGGGCGGTCCGGGGCAGAGGGGACCGAAAGTGGGACAAGTTAGGAAGTTATAAGGCAGAGCTATGCGAATGTTAAGATGACGTAGGTTAATTCAACAGAGGCGTAAAACATGGCATGCATGGATGTATTGGGTAGTAGTGAGGATGACATTCTGGGAGGAGTCGGCAGGTGTAGCGATCTGATGGTACACCGGGACCGCAGCAGCATGAGTGGGTACAGCGAGGCAGAGGGCGTCCGAATAAAAGCCTCATTTGACTTTAGATTTCACATGTCAGCACAGTTCTGATAGTTTGCATTAAAATAGTATTTTTGCTCAGTATTTGTTCTCAAATTTTCAATTAAAATAGTTTATTTAAATGTTTTTTCTTTTCATTTTTTTCTTCGTTTGTTGGTCTTTTCCTGAAGGTAGTCTTGGAAAGGGAGAGTCGTCTTATAATTGGGGTCGTCCTATATTCAGGTCAATACTAGGGATGTAAGAAAATATCGATATGACAATATATCATGATATTTTTTCCTGCGATATATCTATATTCAAAAGCTGTGTATCGACTTTTGGAAGAATTTACATGCAAACATTTATGTATTTTCTTTTCTTTTGGTGCAATTCAAATGCAGACAGCTAGTTAGCAGCAGTGTGCAATGGGTTTTGTTTCCACCATTGAAATGTAAATCCCTCTATTATGGTTCAGACACCTGATGTTAAACATGTTGCGTATCAGTTTGGACTGTTTATTGAATTTTCTTACAATAATTTTATTCAAAAAATAAATGAGCTAATATCGTCTGGCTGAATGTATCGCAATATGTCGTGATATATTGCATCTTCTCCCCGTATTGTGATACGTATCGTATCGCCAGAATTTCGCCAATACACATCCCTAGTCAACACGGTGTTTGAAATGCTTATTGTGGCTATTTTGTTTTACATTACATAACGGCCCCTTATTTCCAGTAAAACATGGCCCTTTTTCATCAAAGCTTCTAAAAACGCATTTTTTTATCTTAACCTCTGACGTAATGAAGGGGAGTCCTAAGTAGGGTTGTCACGGTAACCAATGTAGCGGTAAACCCCGGTAAAAAAGTTGACAATAATAATAACCCTCTTGTTTTTAAAAAAACTATATTATCTCTGTGGGTTTACCGTGGCTGCGGTGTACCCGCGGTGACCCTTACCAGCCACCGTATCATCTGCTGAAGTTGCCGGCGGCACATGCGCACTTTGTTTACAACTAAAACTTTCTTGAAGCTAAAGCTGAAATAATGGCCAAAGGAGGAGACGGCAGCGCTCAGGAGGACATTTATTATCCCTCAAAGAAGGCAAAGTGGGAAGTACGGGCATCTTTTGGATATTTGAAGAATGCCGAGGGACAGTTTATAGAAGACGTCTATCCTGTTTGCAGCACGTGCAGAAAAAGTGTCTGTGAAAGGCAGCAACGCTTCAAATCTCACGACACATCTGCGTGACCATCACCCACAACTCTACAGTCAACGCAAGGCAAGCTAACGTTAGCGTTTTAGCTAAAATGCGTGATCCGAGGATTTGGGTTGAGGGAGAATGCAACGAGTCGCTATATAAAGCAGCCGCAGCGCCGCTACCTGCATATAAACCGTGTCGCGGACACCCCCATGTTGAAATGATGCTATGCATTACGGGGCTCCCAGGGGCAGATAAGAGCTGGTCTCTCTCCGAGAATAATTATGAATTTAACAATGATTACTGCCTGATGACATTTTCCCACATCTGCAAAGCTCACTGGAAGGACACAAACCGAGGACAATATTTTCCTGATATAGGGTTTATTACTCAAGTAAGGGTAAAAAAGTATCTGATTAGAAGGCTACGTGAGTACTGAGTATCATCTGATCTAATATTTTTAAAATGATGACATCAGACATAAAATAAGAAGTTATGGGCAAATATTGGTATTTTAAAGACTAAATGGGAAAATGTAAACAAATAAACAACATAATTACAAAATAACACATTTTAGGCAAAATTTAGACACAAACTGAGGACAATA